GGCGTGGGGGGGTGCGGGGGGAGGGGCGCGGGACTCGCGGCCCCAGCCCCCCGCCGGCCTGACTTCCAGCCTCCAACCCTGGCCCTGCCCGCTTCGGCTCCCCTCTGGTCCCCCGGCCCTTGCCTCCCTCGTGGTCTCTGTTGTTGTCCGCCCCGCGTCTCATCCTGGCTCAGGGTGACGCCTGATACGCCCTTGGTTATTGGGGGACAAAGGGGAGGAGAGCAGCAGAAGTATTCGATGTTCACCTCTCCCCCACATCCGGAGTTGCTGAGCGCCCTCCATCGTGGAATTGCTCGTGAGCTTTACAACAGGTCTTTGCCCATAGACCACCCTCTCCCTCCCAGAACAACCCCTCCAAAGAAGGGGGAAGAAGTTTCCAGAAATCCAGGAGGGTGGCCTTGGACGTTGGCCAGGTGGAAGCCGTGGTCCTGCCCTTGGCCAGTCAAGCCTTCCTCCCTGGGATGGGACCAGTTCTGGGCAGGCATGCTTGCAGAGAAAGAATAGTGGCCCGGGAGACCGGAGGCCAGGTCCAAGGTGGGAAGTGAGTCGGCTGCCATACACACAAGGAAGGATTCTCAGGCCCTGTGCCTGGCCTCTCTACCCCTTGGAGGATTTCTGGACTTTACTGCTCCATCTCCGGAGAAGACTGGGCTGGTCCTACCAACCCAAACAACAGGTTAGAGCAGGTAACAGCCCTCTGCTCTGGGCAGCTGCCCAAGAGTATGCCCTGGCACCTGGCACCCCCACAAGACTCCACCCACCCCACATCTCTGCAGACAGATGTGTGGGGTTCCCCACTAGGTGCCTCCAACTAGGACCAAGATGGGGTCTCCAAAGGAGGTAAGGAGAACCTTTGGCAGGTGCTTGAGGACACTGACCACCCAGAAAGTGGACACAGGAGGGATGCCCCCCCTCCCGCCCCCTGAGTCGGGGCTTGTCAGAGCAGGAGGGTCCTGACAGCAGTTGGGTTCTCATAGCCGGCTGAGGAAGGAGAGTGTGTTCACCCAGCAGAGGGAGTGGGCCCCCTGCCCAGGTGTCTCAACAAGGCCACAAAAAGCCCAAAGATCTATGTGTCACCAACTGATCGTTGTAAATAAAGTGGACCTGCTTTTTCATCCTTGTCTCCACTCCTGTGTTTTGTTTGATGCCAGGCCTGCTGGGGACAAAAACACTATCAGAACCCGAAGGGACAGGAGAAGACCCTAGGAAGGGGCCCCCTGTAGCGGCCAGAGCCAACCGGCGGGATTGGCGGGGAGGGGCTACTGCCAGGAAGCTGTTCCCTTAGTGTCAGGGAAGGAGACAGTAGCAGGTGTGACAAAACATGCGCCAAGCCTTGGAGGAGTGTCAGCTGTCTGTCTCGGCCTCCCAGAATGTCTGTCTGCCTGGGCACTCAGAGGCAAGTGTCTCTGGGACATTTGGCAGGGAGGGGGCCCGGGGCTGGGGACTTCTCATCAGCCTCGCCTCTTTGGGAAGATGCCCGTGTACGTCGGAGCCTGTGGTATGCAGCCGGGGTCTCCCCAGCGGTGAGGAGGGGGGCAGGTTGTAAAGGAGATGGGGTGGGCAGCCCATTTTTCTTTCAGAGGAGCTAGAGAAATCTGCCCAGACCTTTGTGACAGGGTGAGTCTGGAGCTTGGATATCTTCTTTATTCCTGTGCTGAGCTGGGCACTGATCCCAGACTTCTCCGGAGCCCAGACGAGTGGCCCTGCAGTGGCCGGCAGTCAGAACTGTTCTGTTTCCTGGAGCTGCTGGAACAGAGGGTACTGCGGGCGCTTCACCTGCAGAGCCCAGGCAGGGTCGGGGCGCCTCGAAGGGGCAGGCTGGATGGGGGAAGGGGGACGACAAGGACCCACCAGCCAGGATGCCCCGCATGTTCATGGCTCCCCTCTTATGCATTGCCAGCGGCTTTGTGGGCGTTTCTCGCCATTTGCAAAAGGAGAAGAGGACACAGGAAGATGTCAGACCTGGGAGAGCAGGATGCGCTGCGGGCGAGGCAGCTGCTGGTGTTTGAGGCAACCTCAGCCGGAAACAAGGTCGCAAGCACACCCTCTTTAATCAGACTCACGGGGCAGATGCTGCCCCAGCGCCCGTCTTGGGACAGGTACTGAGCTAGACACTGGGGGTCCAGGAGTCCCTCCCCTGGGGCTCTTACCATCTTAGGTGAGGTGCACATGATTAAAGGAGTAGGTGCTGCATAACAATTCCCAGGCACGTTCTCAGCCTCAGCTCCTACTCCACTTTTCTCTGGCAGCCTCCCAAAACAGACACACACACACACACACACACACACACACACACACACAACCACCTCCTCCCTCCTTCCCTCCTTCACACTCTACTCTCTATACCTGGAGTTAGAAGACCGGGGCGAGGGGACTCTGCCTTCTTAGCAGCTGTGTGACATGGGGCAACTCACTCAGCCTCTCTGAGCCTCACCTTTATTAACAGTAAAAATAGGGATAATATCAACCTCACAGGCTAACTGTAAGAATGAAATAGAATCCTACCCGAAAACGCTTTGGTAAATAATAAAACACCCAGCACATATGCAGAACAGCCATTTTACCCAGAGGGCCCTTCTCTTTAGATTAGGACTTCAGGATGCTTCCCCACCGCCCCACCCCGCCCCATCCCCGCAGCAGTGGTCACAAGTTGTCTTCCTGGCCACATCTCCACCTTCAATGTGCAGGGTGGAAGGGAGGACCCAGGGCAACTTCTGTCTATCTTCAGGTTGAGGATGACATAAACCACAGCATAGTACCAACTGCCACCAGGCTACAGAAGGGGATCTCTGGGGGCATCACTGCCACCAAGTGAGGGGGACCACTCCCACCTCCGTCTCTGCACTGACCTTGGCTTTCTCCCTGATCTTAGGCACAAGATGGAGAAGAACCTTGAGCCATTGGTCAAGCTGTCTGGTGCCCCTGCATTCTCTCTCCCGCCCGCCACAGGCTCCCCACCTGTAAAATGAAAATTGGGTGGGGTGGACCAGTGGTTTTCAAATCGTGTTCCTCTGATTCCCCAGGGGTGCCCAAGATGCTGCTGTGGGGAGTGCTGGGGAGCTGAGATGGGAAGGCCCCCCAACCTGCCTTAACTGAAGTAGCCTATCTGTTTTCTCTTTGGGGTTTCTGTGATTCCCTTTGAATAAGGGGATCTTCCTGATTTTTCTTTTTTAAGTTGAAATCATTGGGTGACCAGCTACATGCGTCCAAGGTCTGTTGGGCTGACGAGGCCTAAGAAGTAACGCTGGCGTGTGTCTTCCTGGGACTCCTTGGGCCTTATTTCCCGCTCTCCTGATGCCCCTCCACAGCCGCTGGGCTGTGACAAATGTGGCTTGTGCCATAGCCCACAGCTCCCAGGGTCAAGTGGCTGGCCCACCCATTAATGCCATCCTGACTCCCACTGTTCCTCTTCCGTACGGGGATCCTGTTCCCAGTTCCCCAGACATGGCCATGTGCTCCCACCTCTAGGCTCGGGCCTGTTCTCACTACCGGGGATGTCCTCTTTGGCTACACTTTTTCAAATCCTACCCTCTCTTCGAGGCCCAGCTCAAATCCCACCTCCTCCAAGCTCTCCCTAATGCATACCCCTCCTCCACTCCTGCCAGATCTGGGGGTGATCTCTCCTCTCAAGCTCGCACAGGATGTGGTCCTCATCACGTTACCCCTGGGATTGCTCTTCTTATGTGTGTCTCTCGTAGAAATCCATTTCACTTCCCCGCCCCCTTCGGTACCTTGACCACAGCGGGGCAAGGGTCGATGCTCGATACTAATGTGCTGAATGAGTGCATGAATGAGCCAGATGGAAGAGCCATCACGGGATAGGAAACCAAGTGGGTGGAGAAGCGTTCTTTCTGCCAAGCTTCTGCCTGGAGATGCTGAAGAACTACATCCTCAGACGCCCTGTTGAGACGGATGGCTATTCTTGGGGAGAACATCAGCAGCCTGACATGAGGCCACTGGGGGAAACCAAAGCCGCCGTCCCCGGGGTCTGCTCAGGACTGGGCCTTCTCGCTCTGTGGACTAGACCAGTGCCCAGCACAGGGCTGACCCTGACAGTACAGAGCAGCTCCTCGTGGGGACCAGCCACCATCCAGGCATGCTGGCTGGGCAGCAGGAGGACCATGCAGACAGCTACAGTCTCCAATTTTAACACACAGGCGGTCGCACCCGGGTTTGGGCGTCAGACACACCCGAATGCCAGCCCCAGAGCTGCCCTTGGACGGCTGTATAACTTTGGGCAGGTTTCCGAAGGTTTCCGGAGCCTTGGTCTTCCATCTGGACAAACAGCGATAGATGAGTCCAGGTCTTACATGGTTGTTGGGAGGATGAAGGAAGGCGCTGCCTTTGGGTAATTTATTTTGCACAGTGCCCAATGAACTCAGTAAGCAGTAGCTGCGGCTTTCTGTTTATTATTACCAGGCTAGCTGACGCTGCTAACTGGCAGCGCTGGGATGAGATCAGGTGCCTGGTCTCTGAGACACTTAACATGTTGCTTGCTCACACCCTAGGGTGGCTCTCCGCCTAAAGTTCCACCATCTCTAAATCATGGGAGGAGATTCAAGTACAGCTTGTCTCATTTTTGTCTCTAGTTGAGCAACCGACATAAGCCCGATCACCTTAACTCTAGATTAGACCTAATACCTTATGTTTTTTTTGTATATCCTTTTCTTTTTGCCTTAGCACCCGGCACAATGCCAGGCACACAGCAGAGCACGCCGAGGTGAATGAATGAATGGGTGAATAAGTCAATGATTAGCTGCTGCAGGCCTTGGTGCTGACACATAGCCTTCCCAGCCAAGGTGTTCAGAAAGCTAGGAGGTCATTCCTTTGTGAGTGATGGCTCAGCTTCTCCTCCCCCCCCACCCCGAACCCTGTTTGTCCTTGGCCACAAGCTATGGAGACGAGGAGGATGCTGCTGGCTTAGGGACCAGGCGGTCCCCAGGAGAGCACAGCTGGAAAGGATGGAGGGGGCTGACATGCAGATGTCGTGAGTCTCTGAGCCAGAATGGTCCTCTCTCTCCCTCTGCTCCATCTTGCCTGCCCAGGAGCACATATGGGTTTGCTGACTGATCCAGAATAACTGAGTTTCATCATCCCCAACTTACGAGTGGACAGGAAGCTGGGCAGGCAAGAGACTGAAGGGGAAGCTGGCAGTCCAACCACCATAAGGGAGACCCCAGCTCAGGAGAGCGGGCTAGTACTGCTGCGTGCTGGGACACCTTGGCAAAGGGGCAAAGGAGCTGGGTGGTACTGGAAAACAGGCAGATCTTGGTTTTGCCTGCCCAGCATTCCCCCTTTATGGTGGAGTCTGCTTCCTCTTCCTCCTGGGAACACAACTAAATTCTCCCATTCTCCCCCTGCGCTGAGGTGTGGTCATGTGACTGAGTTCCAGCCAATACAATTCATGAATGTCACCTTGGGGAGGGGGGGCTGGACAACAAAACATAACCTTTGCTTTATTCTCCTGCCTGCCTGCTGGCTGTCATCACCCAGGGTGTCCTTGGAAGCCGTGTGTTGAAGATGACAGAGCCTCCACCAGCCTGGGTCCCTGAATGACCGCATAAAGTGGAGCCCCACCCCTGCCACCAAGGGGAGCAAGAAATAACGTTTTCTTATTAGCCACAAACATGTCAGGGCTGCTGCAGCATAGAGCTTACCTTCTTGTGACCCGCTGCCCTGGTGCTCCCGGTGGAACCACCATCCCCCACTCTCAGTTCCTGGCTTTCTTTCCAGTGGGGCTGGCTTCACACACGTGGCTCCAGGGGAGGACATGCAATCCAGGCCTGACCAATCAGAATGGCCCATCTCTTCAGCTCCAGAGGTTGGCTCAGGGATGGGCATTAGCAATCAGAGCCAGGGGAACTTAGTTCTGGGGCTATTGCTGAAACTGGGGGAAGAGAGACACACTTTCTGCCAGAGTTGCTGAGAGGTGGGGAGATACTATCTCGTGTTGCCGGCAGCCATCTTGCCGCCATGAGGAAAGAGAGCCTGAGAGTCCAGCACCGTGAAAAGCAGAGGGGGACACACAGAGAGCAAGACCAAGTCCCATGACATTGCTTGAGCCCCTGGATCCCACCACACCTGCCCAGCTCTGTTTTAGGTGTTTTCAGTTCCTCGAGCCAATAAGTTGTACTTTTTGCTTAGGCCAGTGTGAGTTGGGCTCTGTGTCCCTTGAGTTAGAACACTGGCCCTGCCATCACTGCTCTCATTGGGTCCCACGCTCTGGAAAAGGGGGATCATTGAAAGGCTTCAGGATCTGTCACAGGTCAGGTCTGATTATGGGACATCCAGCTGGCTCATGGGATCCCAAAGTCCCCAGCCCTTTCCCTCTCTGCGGGCCCCCAGTCTTCCATCCTTGCTGCCCCTCGCACACCTTCCCAGTCCCCTCTGTGGTGCTGCTTCCCTCCCTGTTCATGGCCCCTGTGTCTCCATGCCTTTGACTGGGATGTGGCTCTGACCCCGAACCCATATGCCTCTGCAGTATAACTAAAGCCTCTGGCCTCATTCAAGTGCTAGAGCATGAGGCAGATGGGTGCAACTCAGCCTCTGCATGGTCGCCCCAGATCACGAATCCACCCTCCTCCACTCAGCTGCAGCTGGGGAGTGGGCTCATCAGATGTAAAGGTGGCCTATTAAGCCAATCTCTGAGGGGACCTTTCATGGGGAGGGTCGCTTCTGACAGTGGTGCCGAGGCTGAGCAGGCTGATCTGGAAGGCAAAAGCCTGGAACTGTCTTTTATTCATTCTGGGATGTGGGCAAGTCATTTAACTGCTCCGAATGTCCATTTTCTCTGTCAAATGGAGGCGATACTCTCAGCGGCTCCTGCCCCAGAGGGTATTCTGAAGGGCCATCCAAATGGGATGCAAGGCCAGAGAGCTGTGAAAAGCATCAGGTTCCATAAAAGAGCCTGGGACAGAGTGCTTCCTTATTGGCTCCAAGCCAAGGAAGCTGGAGTGAGGCAGCTCCATACGCCCAGGCTGAAGGGCTCCCATTTGGAGGAAAGAGCCCACAGCAAAGGAAATGAGCCCAGAGCCCAGAGAGGGAGGTTTAAAATAGACATCTGCAGGGATTTCCTGCAGGGGAGAGCCACACGGCCAGGAAACAGCTTGTGGAGCTCCAAAGATAAGCTCCCCACCTCTGCGTGTGCACACACACCACCCCCCAAGGTGGACTTGGGGGATGGGTGGTGCACTCCTGTCTGCAGTCAGAGGGGACCCCTGAAGACCCTTGCAGCCGGAGCTACCTCTGAAGCTCTAAAGCAGGAATGGGGAAGAGCATAACCCCACCTGTGGTCTCCTACCCACAGGCCCTGGACAGTTCCAGTGCATCTCCGGTTACCGAAGCCAGCCTCAGATCTGATCCATCGGAGCCTGGATGCAGGGAGGGGAGAGGGACATTCCAATAAGATCAAAGTGGACATTTACCGCTCACTCAGTCTCCAAGGGACAGGAGACTTGCATCATATCAACCCCTCTGCCAAATGCCACTGATACACAGGTGCAGATGGCAGGATGGACTCTGGGAAGTCTCCCGCTATCCTTAGGGGAAGCATCCAGGGGGATGACTTCCGAGGGCTAAGCATTGCCCACGTAGCAGTGCATGTTCTCAGTGGTAGTAGATGTCTGCAAAGATGTGTCCCTTAGCGGTCTGACTCCTTAGACATGAATTAAATTATTTTTCTAAGATTATAAAAGTAACACGTTTTTATTTGAAACTAGTAAAATGACAAAGATGTAAGAAAAAATTAATACTCTCTCCCAAACCCTCTCTATTCCTTGATCCCCATGCCCTCCGCATGCACACACTGCTAGATAA